TTGTTAAAAACTTAGTGTTAGTGTAATGCAAATACACTAAGTAGGTAAAGTGACTGGCTTGATTACTTACTACCGTTCAAAATGATTTATCTCTTTGCCCTAATATGGGTCATGAAAAAGAATTAAACCAAAGTAGGGGAAAATGCATTAATTTGTGTGATTTCTGGAAATATTTGACGGCCCTACCGTAATGAACATGGGCGATATTTATAACATAACGTGAGATGTGGAGCGTGACATCAGCTGTAGATTACGTCGCAAACATTATATTGTCAGTGTCAGCCGAGTGAGGCGAGGCTCCGTCACTTCCAGTCACGTACAATAACAATGTCATGTCACTCAGCAGCCGACAGCGATATGCGCTTTTTTCGCAGGCGACTGCATTGCCACTAATTGATGCGAGTTTATATCCTTTGTTATTCTAGAAACTAACTCTGTGTCGTGCCGTGGTGGACCGGAGGTTTAAGACGCCCACTTCTCATGCATGAGGGTGCAGGTTCGAAACCTATCAACGGCAAGTACCAATGTGACTTTTTCCGAGTTTTATGTACTTTCTAAGATTATTTAGACACCACGGCCACGCCACGGCCAAAAGGTGAAGGAAAACCGAAAACATCGTGAGGAAACCTGAACTTAAAATTTCTAATTATAAGTTTGAAATCGTCAACCCGCATTGAGCAAGCGTAGTAGCGTAGTTAATGCTCAGACCTTCTCCGTGTGAGAATAGGCTTTACAGGCTCAGCAGTGGGCATTACAGGCTGTTGATGTTACTCTAGAAATGAAAATTTTAATTAGGCCTGGATTTGGTTTGCTATTTATGACCAACTAAACGTCAACCTGTGTATTACACCAAATTAAATAGATTCATAATAAAATTTAGTTTCAGTCATAATTAGATAACTGTTACATCTTCATAGTCTTACTTCTATGTGTCACCGTCTCACTGTTGACGTTTTAACTGTTGCGCATGGTCCTAATAAAAGATAATTGAAGTGTCGTATTGCTGCAATATATCATAATAAAAGACAATGGTCTCAATATAATCAATGGGTATAATCGGCGATCATCGTGTCAGCTCGCGTTACACTCGGCACATTTGTCAGCAGTAGGTTGGAGTGGGTTCGGGGACCGATGGGCTAATGTACCCGGTCCCCGGTGTGGGCGCCGCTGACACCGCCGATCAATAACACGCATTGCTATAATTGGCATCATTCAATGAAGTATTGTCGAGATCTCGTCACACATCTCATGTGGGACGGAATTCGTCTCAAGTTATTTTTTTTACTGAGTTGCATACTAATTAATTATGTCTAGGTTTACTTATTGACATATTGGTACCTAGTACAACAAAGACAACAAGATAACAAAACAATTATGCCGCACATGTAGTTAGGTTACATATCATGATTTGTAGAACTTAATGCATCGTCGTCGGCAACAGCCACCTAAAAGTCTTAAAGAATTTAATAAACTGATTGACTGACTGAATTTTTCACTGATTCGTTTTCCTCCTGCAATATTGCAAATGTTTGTAATCGCAGTTTCCGTTGACGGCAGAGATAAAAATGAAATAGTTACGCGTAACAAAACGTTTAAATCAATTCAAATTAATAATATTTTAATAAGTATTAAATATGTAGATATAAATAAAAGTGAAGTGAATTATAAAAGAAAAACAATCTTAAGTTGAAGATTATAACAGAAAATTGACTTAACTAATAATTAGTTAACTACATCATTACGTGTTAGAAGCCGGATATCATTAAACATAATATAAAATATACCATTATGCCGTTACCATTGCCATTGATTACGTTAATAACTTATCAAATAATAAACATTACAGTAAAAGATCTTCACTGCACTTCCTTTGGAGAGACTGCGGTCTATGTGTATACTTTACATCCAGTTTCCTGTAGATGGGGAACACCAAAATCATTTTCATTTAGGTTTACACGTTAGTGGTGTCCCCTTCTATTTGCCTACTGAAAAGTTCCATTTTATTTCTCTCCAGCTTCCACTGTAGTTATCGCATTCCCATATACGTAAAAATTAAGATTATTTTTATTATTCCTTGGTTAGCAGGTAGAATTATAGAGTTTATGAAAGAATTATAGAGTTTATGTAGGTCGAGTGGCCTGACAGGCTAGGATCAGATCTGCCTGGCTGTATAATTGACTAGACAAAATATTACAAAAGCTATTTGTGCAAGTGTAGTGTGCCAGTGCGCAGTGAAATCATAGCGGGGGTGTAGCTGCGGCACGCCTTGCGCATGCGCAGTGAAAGGCCTACACTCGCCTATTACGTGGTACATGTTTAGATGCTTTTTATTTTTATAATGTAATCATGATGCACTGACATTTATGTGCATACCGTAACATTACGGGATTTTGCAAAAAAAAAAACAAATAACACGAGCAGGCCTCACACTGTTTATGACACAGCCTCTAAATAACTTGAACCTCTTGCTTGGCAGTCTCGCTACTAACTACTCAACTAACGAGGTATTTAGTTCATTTTGTTTGTGATTAATGTCCTTACAAATATTGCCCCAACTACATACAAAACAATCATCTGTTTAATTACCATGAGCAATCAATTCTCACAAGCGTGCGTATCGCAGGAGGATAACAAGTGCACCATTATGTGATCCTGCACTCTTTCCATTTCCTTAGTATTATACAAGCGTGAGATTATTCTCATTAATATTTATACGCTTCATTAATATAACCGACACCTAAATGTGAGGTAACTCCTACACCTGTAAGTGGGTCAGTTTGTGAACAGTGGGCGACCAACTCAGTACCTTACACTGCACTCACTGCGCACACGCAGTCAAAATTATTTAGAATAAAATTTTCAAATAGTATAGGTACTAATGAACATTTTCACCAACCACCCCTAAATGATCTTTTAAATAAGAGTTACTTCGCGTGAGGGAGCACCTAAACTAACCCCTTATCTGTACTGATAGGTGAAAACTAAAATGCCGTTAAGTGGCACCTACCTTAGCTTACAGGTTCCTTAAAATGTAAGAGAGGTTGATGAAAACCATATGTAACTATAGGTTCTTTTCCAATCAGGTTTACAGTAACAATTGCTCGGTATGGGACTGTCCTAAATTACCCGAATGTTACAAATAGATCTAGTGTGCATTTGCATACATAAATAACGTAATAATTATCTTAAAAATCTGACACATAGGTTTTTCACATATTTCTCATGGAAAATACTTCAAATCATCCGCTGTCAGTTGTTGGAGTAACAGAAATAGAATCGGTCTTTAAGATGTTATCTAATAATAACTGTACGTAGAGTAGGTATAGCTACTGAAAAATTGGTATTTTTAACGAGTCATTGTTTTTACAATAGTGTGGTTCAGGAATGAGTCGAATTGGATATTCCTAGTACGTACTTTTCTGTTTCAATTTGGTATATTTAAGTGGTTGACAATTTCTATACTACTATTATGTTACTATTATGGTTTATTTTGCATTGATGTAATCTTTATATCCCCGTGTCATTAACGTAGGTAAAGTTACTACTAGATTTTTAATTACGTAATTTAAAAAAAATCTAATAGCAAATGACGTCACTAATTGTTATTTTCTAAGTAAAAAAATAGTAGGTACCATGTGATGTACGTTGCTATATATAATACAAATTTTGTGTATATGTCCGTAGTTTGCACTCACTGAGTATGAATCGACAATAAACAGCAATAAAAAGTTTATCCGAGCTTCCAATGAAATAATATTTATTTCGATTTTGGTGGAATCTCTGCATTGGACAGCGAATAGCTGAGAGCTTGAAATTGTGCCAATCATAGCAATCACTACTGCTGAATAGGTGTTATATTATAAAACCAACCATATTATATAAAAAGGAGCTATTCACTCAATTACGAAGAAATGTATTAGGTAACAATAACTTATTTTATCAGGTAGCTGTTCAGTGTTCATGAACCAATTTACTGTTCAATATAATTACATTAATAGCTAAACATTGAATAAATTACGCAATAATTTAGTAACACAATAAAAAAGAACACTTGAAGATCGTAAAATGCAATGAGAATAGAAAGCAACGTTACTATGAACGCAACGTCCACGAGCTACGAGCTACAAGTGACATCGACAAATATTCACGTCGCCACGCCAAATATATTTCAGTGAAGAATTTTAGCGCTATTGCTGAAACTGACGCACTTTTCACGTAATCATACAAATATTAGACATACCAACTTGTTTGTATTGTGCTTTTTATAGGTAGGTCTTTGTTCCAAATCCCATAAACTTTATTTACTTATTTTAAATGCCCTTAAAGTCCTAGTCCTAGAAAGTTAGTTTTAGGTCTAAATCTGATGTGTAATATATCAAAGGTTTCCAAGAATTTATGTGAAGATCTTCATATATCTAGATAGTTTATATTGTGCTGTAAATCGAAAAGTTTCAATAAAATAATGATCCAGTCGTATTGATAAACAAACTACATTACTCTCACTCACACATTTCTGTAAAAACTGAGTAATGTGAACATCGCGTTACATCTGACACATGTTAAAGATTTATTGAATCGTGGAGATGAAAATAACGCGCGTGTGCTAATTACCTCATTATACATTTAAAATTCAGTACGACTCAATACAGTACGGACGTTTGTCAGCTGTAGAATGCTGGCTGCCTACATGATGATAGTGTGTGAGTATCCGGACAGCCCAGACGTGATGCATACGTGAATGGGACCGCCGGGCCCCGAGTGTGACATTCCTGTAAGAGAATACCATATATGGCAGGCTAGTCGCTGTCAGGTAATGCATCCTCGATCAGTGAGCGATTATAACGCAACGGAAGCGGCTGAAATTAGAAGCGCGCGCGCATCGGGCGGACGGGGCCGGTGCCAGCCGGGCCGCGCCGAAACTAAATACCCAAAAGCGTTTGTGATCGCGCGAGCGGTTGCCAAATATGGCACGAATCTCGGGTTTCGCGAGGCGCGCGCGCCGCGTCGCTGGCACACCACCAGCCACTGCAAAAACGCTCTCTGTTCCCGACTAAAAACACGTAAAAAACGTTTTTATTTCTGTAGCGAGCGGCCTCTAAATTTAGGCCGTATGGAAACCGAAAGTAATACGAGCGATTTTGGTTGGGGCCGCGTTGTCTGTATTTAGATTAGAGCGAGCAGCGCGGCGCGGGCGCAGTGGCGCGACTCGCGACTCGGGAGTAGCGGCGCGCGACTCGCGACGCGACCTCCGCAGCACCGCGACACCGCGCACCGCGCGCCGCCCTGCGCCGTCGACTGCATTGTGTGAGCCCACTGTGATACAACATGCGCACGCGCTGAAAGTTTATCAATGAAAAGTTTCGTGTTATAAGTGATACAATAAAAAGGATTTGGATGTCACAAATGTTACCCGAAGGCGGAGGTGAATACTTACATTCATTATTTTCATTAAGTATATTTATTGTTGGCAATAAGATTTAACTTTGAAACATGGTTAACTCCATTAAAATATTTATAAAGTACAAACTTTTCATGAAAACGAACGTAAAGTTAATATTTATTTCCAAACCAAATGAATTTTGTTATATTTTTCTACTAAATTGTTTTATGTAAAACTCATATTCATAAAAATGAAACATAATTCCGATAAATTAAAAGACAAATGAAGTGTAACAGTGAGTAAAGGAATAGTTTGTGTTGTGTTATCAATTGAACCTGTGCTGTAAAGTAACCCACTGCCATTATCTAAGTAGGCGGCCGCGGTGTTTACCAAGCAGTGCGCGGTGCGTATGCGCAGCTATCAGTCGTGGCGCGTTATCAGCCGCGATTCGTGCGACTCTTATTGATTCTCTACTATACACTGCGTTATCAATGTTGACTGTTGACTGCTGCCACTTTATTCGATTGTTCCACGTTAGGGTGTACTTACCTAATGTTAGAATTAATTATTTTACCTCAATTACTTACTTACTTACTACAGATATTAATTTACAGGGTACCTCGGTAAATGTTGTGTTTTATTTCAAATATAACTATATTTTAACATTTACCGTTAGTTATCCTGTTTAATAACGTTCAATAGTTAAATGTCTGTTTAAGTTAAAATATGTATCTAGTGCCAATTAGCTATGAGCTACGACACTGTAAATGTCAAGTTGGCATTAATAAATTAAAATTATAACACGATAATTAATAGAGAAAACGAATGAATAATTAATATTGATTATCTTTCTTCATAAAGTCTTTGATATTGCGTGAATTGTTTTTTAATTCAATACAAGTATCTATGAAATAAGTAATCTAGTTACATAAGAGGCTATCTCATGATGAAAATTGTCCCTGTATCCGTTACAATTACGTTACCATCGGATAGACGTGCAATTATTAAAACCTTATCTCACGAATACAATTGTACAGAATTATGTGTAATTTCATAAGTACAGTTCGAAAGAGAAATGTCTACCAATATCCTAGTGACATTCTCCTCCATTGAGATCCGTGTCGAATTTGCCATGAGTGCATGTTATCTGTGTCATGTGTGCAGATGTAATCAGTCTGTGTGTGCTAGCAGTTACCGAGGCGACGCGGTGTGGCCTGTGCCTTATAGGGCCGGTGTCAAACTGTCAAATTGTTTCACTACCGTGCTCTGTACATAGACAGTGGTCCCTGCACCGTTGTGTAAACAAACAGATCGAGGTAGCTTCTGTTATCACTTGCACAGTTTCGGCGACACCGAGGTTGTTTGCCATTATTTGAACACTTACATTATTGTTGCGAGTGTGTGTGTTCGGTTTTGAAAGTGGGTTGACTAACATTGCTGTTGAAATCTTCGCTGAAATGTTAAATTGGTGAGCTGTGTTGGCGGTTTCTGTGCGATCAAATGTAATACTTGTTACTGTTACCTATGTATAAACATATGTATGTATGTAAATAGCTAATTTGCACCAGTAACAATTCATTTTACCCAATAAAACACATTCAATAAATTTATACCTCATATACATAACAAGAAAGCCTAATATCTAATGATTCCACTAAAAGCTTCATCTGCCGCCTCCGATATGGAAGCTGGCCATAAACTGTCGGCTGTCGGATAGTTAATATTGTTATGTAAAACAATAACTCCATAGCGGTATGTTTTGGTGGAGTGTTCGTAATTCGTTACCAAAACGGTGATAAATAAGTCCGCAGTCTCCGCCGCCTCCTCGATATGATTCATGCGTACAGTTTGCTTTACCCTACAAGGCAGCTATTAGCATTCCCTTTATGCCGATCTCAAATTAATAGCTAGTTGTTAACCCGCAGCTTTACTCGGATTTCGGAAATATAATAAAGATGACCACTCGGAGGTATGCGGTCGCGGTGGTTTAAATCAAACCGCATGCTTTGTTATTAGTGGCGTCATTGTTTCGTAGAACATGTAGGAACAAGGTACAGTTTGTTATACACGTTAACTGCCGCGTAGGTCACCGTTGCCTTCAACAGTCAAAGGCTTAAACCTTTTCCTTATTTACTTAGAGGGACATTAATACAATAGAGGTATAAAGCTTTACATACCAACCTAAAGAATTCATGAAATGACGAAATGACTGAGGTCAACATCATACACCAAATTATTTGAAATTATTTAGTCAATTAGCAATAATCAACAAATCAACAATGAATGTAAACAATGCACTTAGCTTCAATGCAAAACTTAATTCAAGGATTTGAATTTCTGTATTTTAATACAACTGATTTGGAGCGGAATAGCATTCAGGAATAGCTTCTGGTCAAGTAACAGTTGTCTTAGCAGCAGCAACGATCATTACAAAAGTGTGATGCTGATGAGAAAGAAAAAAGTAAAAGAAAATAACATTGTAAAGAAAATATACGCGACGTATCATGATGGTTTGTCCACCATTACAAACATCGTAATTAACTTTTGGCAGAAGACGAGTACTATGTTAGCGCCGGTGGTTCATTCATCAGGTGACAGGTGCCACCACGGTGCCACCGTACCCATCACCAGCACACTGTGTGCCCGTGTGTATGTAACATTTTACTGAAGACAGCGGTATTTGTAGTAGTATTTGTGTAAAACAATGCCAAGAACCTGTAATCATGTAATTGTGTTCAATGAACCGTTGGTGTAGTGGTAGCGAGTCCACATGGCTTGACATGTAACGTGCAGCGTGGACGTACTAGTGTGACGTGACGTCAGGCTGGCTCGGAGCCAGATACGTAACATCGGTCCGAGTAAACACTCCATGCGATGTACGGGAACCGATGACTCAGGACCGATCCAAATGGTCCAACACAGTTGTACTGTTGAGACGATCCGATGTAGGTACTTGCAATGTTTGAAATGATTTCCCTTCACTTAATTTAAACTTAGAAAAACAATTTTTGCTTTCATTAATATCGCTAAAATTCGAGGCTGAAATAAAAGATGACAAGATTAAAATATTCCCATGAATTAATTATTTAGTGTGTCTGAATACTTAACGATCAATTAATTTGTATAAAGTGGTGATCGATTAAAGTACATTTGGTTCTTCCTCGTCAAGTCGTGAAAAACTTCAATAGAATTGGTATTTTGGTATAATATGTATGTCTAAATACCCAAACGCTACTGAATTTTAAGTCGTACTTAAGTATAGTTCTACATACATACATAACATCGTGATGTTAAAAGGCGTGCCTTTTATCCTCGAGCACTCGGCTAATGTGGCAGCCGGCGAGTATAGTTCTGTCACCACAAATTCGTTAAAAAATGTCAGAGAGAGATGACACAATATTTAAGTCCAACTTAAAACTGAGTAACCTTTCAGTATTCGTTAATCACCCATATAGTACCTAATGATGTACAGGTTTACATCACTTACATTGTTTAGTTAGGAACTTTATTATACTAAATTAATAAATATTGAATGAAAATTCATTGAAGTCAGACTGATTGACTGTCGACCGCGTCACCTCAGGTGACGTCATGGACCTACTTGTTATACCTATAGGTATGTAGTTAATTATTAGTTTATTTATTTCCTCAAACAATACAAATAGTAGTAAGGTATAACTAAAGTAACTTTTATTTACTCAGAAAGCGTCGCACGCGGATATGATTTCATCGTCATGTTATTATTATTATGAAGTTAAAAATCAGTAAAAATACTTATTGAGCAACAGATATACCTCTACTAATACGAGAGACAATCGGTCAATCTTTTTATACCTCTATATCGGAAACTGACACATTTTGACATTTGATTTTGGAAATCGTAGTGGTCGCAGGCACACAAGACTGGTTAAATTATTGACTGAAGATAATGTCAATCTAGAAGACGGTGTAAATAAGTTAATGTGTGATTAAATCAAAAATAATTAATACATTAGAACAGACGTACCTTAGTACATTTGTTTTGTTTGGTACTAAATTGGAACTTGCGTTAGCATAACATACAGAAATAGAATCACATCCCGAACTTTACCGTAACTCTATATATGGTCAAGTATTACTTATGCACTTAGGCTTATGCTGAAACAAACCCGTATTACGGTTAATTAATAAAAACCGCAAACCCTACGGATTCACTCGAGTTCCTGCGTCATGTCATTGACTGTCATTTGAGGAAATACTTCATTTACATGAATAATAATTATTGTTTTATTAGCTTATTAGTAATTAGCACTTTATTGTGAATGTAATTGTACTTAGGTGCCTACAATGTGGACCGCAGACGCAGACAGGAACACAATTATTGCATTATTTTTAATTATGATGTGAAAGAAACCTCGTGGTTCGATGTAAAGGCGTCTGTTTTATAAAGTGTATAGTCATCGAGATCGACTCACCCTCTGTCACATGGGTCTTATAATATTAGGTATTCACAAAAATGGGTTCAAGATAAATATTTACATAAGTAAGCCATGACCAGCCTCCTCCACATACTACAAACTTAGCTGAAATCTTAAAGGAAATGCTTTGAATTAACTTCTATAGATGATGTCGTTGTTGGGAATCCCATGTACCTCAATAATATGTTTACAATAGTATTTCCTCCTTATTTTAGTGGCTGGGTTTCTGTTGTTGTTTTCCACAATTTATACGTAAGTAAAACCACTGCTTCATATCCTGGTTAAATTACATGAGTTTACCTACCACCATCTACTAATTGTATTAGGCCTATTGAAGTGAGATTGCGAGATCAAACTCAAATCTGTAAGTGACTAAGTAGTATCACAAGTACCAAATTTTGTGCTGCGCTCGGTCTAGATCTATGCGGCTGCACTCCTAAAATACTAAATGAAGTCATCTGCAGTAATTTTGGAGGTTACTATCGATGTAAACAATATAATTAATATGAACCAGATGTCACAGTAGGTCTGTATCGTTTGCGTAATTATAAATTGTGAAATGAAAACTACAAATACATGAATGGTTCATGTATTTGTAGTGTTCATTTGAAAACTTATTTCGTTCCTTAAATACGAGGATGAGAACAAAGCGGGAAGTAATTTACTCCACAATTCTACAGTCAAATTGGGACAAAAATGTAGCGATGTGCTATAAAAATAAATTCGATTTAAACTCCAAATGCTCGCTGTGAAAAGGCAACCTCTGCCCATAAAATATTAAGATAATCATGATATTAATAATATGTCTAAATATAGCGGCCGATGATCGCCTTAAACGTGAAGGGTTCTGTATAAATACAGTTTATAGCCGGTGCGGTCTGTTCCGAGTGACTCATATCTTATTGTTGTGATTCGGTATCTGTATCGCATACATCACGCGGAGATCTTTAGGATCCAATATCGTAACACTTGTATTTATAGCAGTTTTGTGATAAACACACGCCATTTTTTACGTTTGGGATTCCTTCCGTATGGTTGACTGGCAGAGTGCCACTACACCAGCCGTTCGAAGCGTGATTCATTACTCTTCGTGGATCTCTGATAGAACTTTCTTTTAACTGCGAACTTTGTAGCAGGTGCCTTCCGTATTTATTTCCAAACATGTTTGTAAACAAAATATAACAATCTAATAACAGTCATGAAATACACAAAGCATAAAATCTGAGATATTTAATTAGGCAATTTATTTTGATTGGGAACATTTTATTTATCTACGAAAGCAAAGTAAATAAATAGATGACTTTTTAAAAGCGTTTGCAAGAAAAAATTTGGTAGTGAAACATCTGATAGATTGTTTCTCCGGTTGCTAGCGAATACCACAGTTGATGGATTAATTAGTGCCTCCCAACCTACCTACTTATACCTCCAATTTATAAGAGCGTGCTTGTGATGTTATGCTGTCCGAATAGCGAAAGTGTTGAGTAAACAGTTCGCACGTCACAAGCAGTCGCTGATACTCGGACGATAAATTTATGTGAGAAACTGCGAACTGCCGCCAACGCAGTCCCATCACTACACCTCACCCAATCAGAACTACCTCGTTACGTGTACTGCAGCTAATTAATAGTTTACAATGTTGTTGAATCTGTACCGAGGAACTAGACACGTTCGTAGGAAGGAAATTTGTTTACAACTAGTTTTATAATTACCTATTGTGTTATGTAGGGGTGGAAATTACATTTACTTATTAAAGTTTAGGTAGTCTGTATTGTTGGTAAGTATAAATACTGAAAAAGTGAAAAAAAAACTGAAAAGTGAAAATGTTTGGAAAGTTTTCAGTGTTACCGCGTGACCTCATATTTTTATTACTAGATTACTGTCTAGTATCTGTAGAAAAAACGTGCCCTTGACGTCACGTCATGGCGATGTCGATGTCACAAAATACCTAACATTACTATCTGACTCCTCCCGCGTCTTATTCTCAGAATGTTAATCATCTCACTAATTCCTCGCCCACTCACTCGCTGGGTGGTACCGACGACAAATATATACAGAACCTATCTAAATTAAACTCCATTCTATTTAGGAATTCAGTGAATGCCCCATGAATCGATATCAAACATTCTTGATATCCGTGCATAGTGGGTTACTTCGTTATCGCAGATTTTATTGACATGTTTAACTTGTGACACGGTAACAGTCACCTGTGGGTAGATAACCTACATCCGACGCGACTCACAGACTTACTGGGACGTTGTATCGAAATAATGTTAACAAGACTACAGTTAGATTACTCGTGGAAATGCCATGAAATTTGTTTTCATAATATTATTTTGGAGCTAGGAAAATCATGACGGATTACCTAATACTAATAGTCGTTGGCGTTGAATTTTTGAATAGATGTGCATTATTTTAGTCATAAATATGACTGTAATACATTGTTGAAGTGCGAGTGGAGGAGTGTGCAGGCGTGTCCGTGCGAGATGATTACAGCGTCGCATCAGCTGAAAGCTTGTTGCGAAATAGGTGCGTGCGGTGTTTCAGTGGTTGCGCACGCGACGCACCATTCCCGGCGCGAGTATTTCGGGCCGCACTCGACCCGCCTCGGGTTTCACGCCTTTCTGCCGAACCCAACGTACTGACATACAAACACACTGTATTTTCGGCCATGAGGGTATGATAACCACCGCTAGAATAGTTCTGATGCCCTAATTCCGACCAACTAATAATGGCTCGACGGGTAGCCATTCCTGTCGAATGTGTTTGCTGTGGTGCGAATTGGTTCATGGTAGCTGTTTCTCCATTAAAGTAGGTAGTTTTTAGATCAAGGACCTCCATTAAGTAACTGGAATGGTACATTTTACATTTACCTAGTTTTGGGATCATGGTTTATCTATTTAGTTTTAGTTTATGACAGTAGTTTAAAAATATGTTTGATTCTGTTCGGCTCCATTTAGTTATACCACTAATTTATACAAGGGTTATCTTTAATGTGTATTTATAGCTTTTTACTGACATTACAGACACTGCAGAACCTCACATCTGTCGCCACAACTTGCCACTTAGATATGGCGATAAGTTACAAAATTAATCTGTTACTCTCGTGTAAAAACAGTTCCTGTTATCCCTAATACGAAGAATAAACAGAGCAGATGATTCGTTCCTTACACTGAGTTCACTAATAGTGAGTGACGTAACAATACATGATTTATGCCCTGAATGATCAGATGATGATCACCTCGCTCGCGGCTCGTACGCATGCGTAGTAAACACCAATGATTTACGATACACTATATTGTAGCTACGCTCGGATTAATGAATGTATTTCACCTTACCTGACGTGGGTAGGCGTGTACTAACAAACACAGATTGCACACATTTTTATGTAAACAGTAGGAATATCTATCGCCTTTGAAACGACACTAATTGGATATTTATGTATAAATAGGACAATTAATGCATTATTTATGGATGGTTACATAATTCAGATATCTTTTTGAATATTTCAAATAGATTTTCTTTGTTGTTGTTTTACCTCTGTAAAATTTTGAAGTAGGTACCTTCTAGTTATTTAAATTAGAATGTAACAAATATTTTATTCCTAGTATTTTGGTTGTTTATTAATGACCTACATTGCTGTTACCTACTTTGGAGTTCTATTTGAATTTCTTCTTACTAACGCACAGACTTTCAGTTAGGTATCTTTCGTTATTACAGCGCTCCCTCTATTCATTTCTATTATGTAAAATCTTGACATCCTAAGCACTGACATGATATAAGTAATGCAATACAAATGTTGCAGTATGCAGGTGTTAGTGCGACATGAACCTCCACTGTGTGTCGTACTCACGCGGCTGCTGTCAGCCGACACGTGGGCAGTAGCATTCAGACAGCCCCATGTTTGTGCAATCTATTGCATGAGTTAGTAGATAAGTAGGTACTGTCATTCTCTTCTAAGAAGGCTGTATTGAATGTCCGAGTACCTAGATAGAAAAACCCACAAACCTTTCGAATGAAATGTTGTACATACCTACATTGATACAGCAACTTGTCATCATGTTACTCAGAATGCTCGATTTGGGAATTGAACCGACAAGGTCTTAGGTCTCGTTAGTCGCGTTTGCACCGCAGTGCATGTTGCAAATGTAACCAGTTTTATATAATTTTATTACCTATTAGGTACTTAGGTATTCTCGTTTTAGTAAATCTTTTAATAAAAATCAAGGAGATTATAATTCTGTTCTATGACGTGTGGATGGTCAGTGAGATAACGTGTGGGTGTTGTTGTTTCAGAAGTGATGCGGCGCGCGGCGTGCGGCGACGTGTGTCCCCCGCCGCCGCCCGCGCACCCGCCGGCGCCACTAGCGCTGCACAGGTAAACATAAACATCTACTACAAGTCTACAGCTAGGAACTATCTTTCTGTGAAGCCCTTACATGCAAGTAGGCAACTATCGCTCGAGAGATTGATCACTCCTCTAAAGAAATTTCAAATGGAAACCTCGGTTAAGTAAATTTTAAAATTTCTAATTTGTGACCTATTTACAGAAATAATTATCAGTTAATTTACCAGAATATCTTAGTATTTCTATGTAAACAATTAATTTAGGTACTAATAACCTAATGGTAGTGAGGCACCAGTGAGTCATCGCCATGTCTTCTCAATGACTCTCGTAAACTTGCACAACATCGGAGTTATTGTCCAAACTCCTGCCAAGTTCCCAAGCGGATGGCGGACCTACCTACTTGTGTTCCCAGACGTGAGTGTACTGGGAAATCTGTACAACACAGGCTCCAAATAGAAATATTATTTGTTTTTCTTAAAATAACGGAACAGTATCTGAATATTAAACTACTTTTTTATTTCCAGGACATCTGAAAACAAAGAGTTGCTACGTCAGCAGCTCTTGTCAGCCAGTAAGGAGCGTCTTGAAAAACAGGAGTCCCCGAAACCAAAGCACGCTCGCAACAGACAGAAGAATCGATGGAAACTCAAGTTCCATCACCAAGCACTGCCACAGGAGTATCTCGACCACTACGAGCAGAGCTTGCAGAAGGCCAACGCAGCTAAACAGGCTCAGCAGAAACAGAAACCGCCAGAGAAGCCCAAAGTAGAAACTAACTTTGACATCAACAACTTTACTAACGAGACGTTCAAGATCTGGGCGCAGAGGCTGGCGGGCATACAGAATGAGACCGGCACACTGACTGTGCCGCAGGTGTCTTCAATGCTCAACATGGCTGCCAAGCCGCCTGCGAAAGACGACAAGAAGAAAAAGAATCCTGCCATAGCTCCGAGCAAAATCGTCACGTATGACGACTTACCGTACATGGGAGAAATGACTCTCAATAACTCCAAGCCAAGGAGAGGGCGTAAACCGAAGAAGGCAGACATCTGTCACTTAATATACGAGAACTACGGGACCGTAGTGCCAGGACAACCACCCTCTGCACAAGAGAGGCTGAACCAACTGAACATGTGCCCTCCCTTTAAGGGCGGAGACAACCCGCCCACGAGTAACCCAAAAACTGACTTACAGAACAAAATCATCTCTAGTTTATTAGAAAGAAAGTTGTCACAAGAAAATAAAAAGCGGTTAGAATCGCTGACTCCACCAAAGTTCCCCAGTCCAGACGAACCAATGCCTGAAGCTCCGGTCACTATTGCAGGACCTTTGCACAGTGACGATGAACCGTTGAACCTCTGTATCAGAGACCTCCACGATCTAAAGATACAAATCCAAAAGAAGTTTGGAAACATTTATTCCTCCCTCCCAGAAGTAAAGACTGAAGCAGAGTCTGAGAGTTCAGAGCAAGACAGTAGTAAGCTCGAGCAGCCTCCCAACGCTATCTCAGTGATACAGAGGAACACGAACCTCAGTCCAGTGACTGCCAGCAGCTCGCCCGACCTGTCGCGGCCGCGCAACGTGTCGCCCACGCTCTCGGAGCCCGCGCAGTCTACGTCCAGCCCCGACAGTGACGGCAAGTTCCCCGGGTACGTGTACTGGCCCAACGCTGGCATCTACATGCATCCCTTAGCACTACAGACGCAACTATTATATTACCAACGGCTAGCGGCCGCCGGCCAGCTACCGTTCAGTGCTGAAGGTGATAACAGGGGACCTACGTCCACGCCAAACAGTGTTAGTGAAGTGTCAGAGAACTCGTCAATAGACGATAACAAAAACAAATTAGTGCTCAAACAAATTTCAGAACTGTTAGACCCAAAAGTGATAAAACAAGTGGAAGAGGCGAAACAAAGTCCCGACCAAAGTAAGATGAAGAGGGTGTCACCTAACCCCGCGCAGGGGCCAGTGAAACGGAAGCGGTCGGCTATATTCATACCGCCGATGCCAACCAAGACTAACTCCACCACACCCACCACTGAAGTCAGCATTTGCAAGTTTAAGTTCACGGGAGGTTCCAAGCCTTCACTTCAAGAGAAAAAGATGCTCTCCGTCGACTCTGGAGGAAATTTCAGATATTACAGTGGTACGGGCAACAAGGGGAACAAAGGTTACGAGTACCTGCAACGTGACTCTAACCAAGGCAAGAACTCTGCAGCAGCAGAAACGTCCACATCGCAGCCTAAATTAGAGGAACATGGAGGTACAGCTCTGAGTAAAGAAGACTTGAGTAAAAAGAAGAGAAAGTCTAGGAAGAGTCTGCAGAGAGAAAAACTAGAGCAGACGTTCAAAGAGAAGGGGTTTCTGATACAGACGCAGCAGTTGCAGTCCGCGGAGGGCGCGACGTATTGCAAGTTCCGTCAGCTGCGCAAGTTCACTCGGTACTTGTTCCGCAGCTGGAAGGATTACTTGCCGGGGGAGCTGGAGGAACAGGCCGCGCCCCCCTCCACTCCACCTTCTGCGCCCCCGCCCCCGCCGGCAGATCCCGCTCCATCCACAGAGTGGGGCTGACCCTATGAACCCAGATATAACTAGGATGGACCGAGGCCCGTGCCCAGGGAGCACCTGTCTAGGATGAAGGAACCAAGATTGTACATAATTGTCAAGTAACTCGGATGCTGGAGAATTAACATGGCCGCTCGGCGGTCGAATAATGCATTTAATAATTGTGTTTAGTGAGATTTTAAACTATTAATTTGTGTTATTTTGTTCTTGATTGCCACTCCGTCCATATTGAATGTTGATTGTTTAAAGATGTATCTTCGCTCGTGTACAGTACTCGTTGTTAATTTTAAGGTTGTTGTATGTTGTACTGAATCCTAGATTCGCATAAGATTGTCAGACCACTGTGTCCGTCTTCAAGTACTGAGAATGTGTATTTTAATATATTAATGCTGTACCTACTCACAGACAGGCCTATTTATTTCATGTACTTACGTATTAAGTCGAGATTTTTAAATTTAAATTATATTACAGCAAATGTACAAGCGGTGCTATATAATGTTGTTACTGTAAATACTATAGACATAGAGAAACTAACAAAGCTAGTCACGTGACACCTCTAACTTAGCTCTAGGTACTGTAGTGTAGGACAATCGGCAAACTGTACATATTTGCGAACCAGAGGCATTCTAGTCATTACGATAAGTTATACATTGTTATTGATTGCTGCTATGTATGTGTTTAATTCAATAATATTGTTTATATAATGTTTTCTTACTTTTATAAAAAAATGAAACCAGATGACTTGTATACAATAAACTTTAATGTAAAGAAAACCACTTGATTCCGTGATTAATAAAATATAAAAGAAATAATGAAAACAGGAATGTAATATACCAATTAAAACATTTAACCGAAACAATATCTTGTATGATTGAACAACAGACACCCGAATGAATGTAGACACTTGCCGCAGCTGAGAGAGCTGCGACAGTGGGACATAACTTTAGAATATAATAATTTGACCAACAGTTCTACACAATATATATCGAGTAACAACGGGCCGCGAGCGAGCCTCCACGAGCGATACAAAAATAACTATAAAATATACTCTTACACACTAACCTTCAAAAATCCATCTAAAACACCTGCCTTGTGTTTTGTGCAAAAACACGTCAGTAAACAAAGGCACAGAATATTTAACATTAAATATAAAGTATAGAAAAGATCTGCAATATATCGTAATGCGTTATTACGTGTTACTTAACATTATATGTCCTTAGGAACTACAAAGTTAACACTGTTCAAGCTGATTGCTTCAATAGTTGGACCATTTAGTTTACAACATGGTTGCTAACCGGAATGTGCCAGCAGGAATGTTTAATTTTGACTGTGCACTGCACACATGATTACCAATTTACATTTGAGTCATAATTGTGCGCAAACGATTAACAATTCAACATGATGGCTCACAGAGAATATCAAATCTATATAAAAATTGAGAGGTGTTGATAACTCACCAATTAGTAGCTACTGAATTTATCACAATACAAAATGCGAGCTGAGGGTAAGAACCGAGTGACGGGAACTTGTAGACGGTGCCTCTACTACGAGCCTGCTGATAATATTTATCGATACTCGATAGTGACTACGTAACATTTTAATTCCGTAAATGACCGCTGTAACATTTTCTAATAAAACCAAACGGCGTCGCTATCGAGTATCGACAAAACACTATTGCTTTACATCGGCTCCACACGTTAGCCTGAACGATGCAGCTCAACAATAGACACTCTGACATTGAGGCTAATACTATTCTTTAGCTAGACATGATGATCTTGGCATTAATCTTGAGGCTAGAATATGGAGCCAGCGTTGCCCTCATAGTAGAGGACCTTACAGTGAGGCAGTGGCCCCGACTAGGCCTTGAGTAGTTGGTGCGCGGCGGAGTGGATGTGCGGCGCGGAGATGCCGTACTTGTCGAGCAGCGCGGCGGGCGGGCCGGAGCGCGGCACCTCGCGCACGCACACGTGGCGCGCCACCACGTCGCGCGCCGCCGCCAGCGCCGACAGCACGGCCTCGCCCAGCCCGCCCGCCTGGTAGTGGTCCTCCACCACCACCACGCGCCCGCCGCAGGCCCCAGCGTGCTGCTGGATGGCCGCCTCGTCCAGGGGCTTCACCGTGAACGGGTCCAGGACTCGGGCTTCGATACCTACGGGGAGTATAATGCATGAAATGTTATAGTAGGTAAACGGGACGAAATGTTAGGTCAACCAATATTAAAAACACTTAAATTTTTCAATTAATGCCCATTTCAATGATTAAATTACATTTTGTACGATAAAAATATTAAAAATAATGTTATAATTAGACTATACTCGCTGCAATAAATACTCTTCTAGTTTAAAATTATACAATTTTTAGTAAAGTTTATAAATGAAATCAGTGTAGTTTACCTTCAGTCTTGAGTTTGTCGGCAGCCAGCAAGCACTCGTGTAGAGTGATTCCTGCTCCGATCAACAAAACGCGGTCCTTGGGGGACTGACGGACTATCTTAGCCTGACCGACCTGTGCAGACGAAACAGTTGATAAATGTCATAGTCTACATACTCTAATTACCCTAGTAATAGTCTTGAGAATGCTAACGAGACTTTTATTATGAAAATTCTAAAATAAGGATAGGTATTTTACAAACTTGGTTTATCGCTAAAAACAATATCCATCAGGCAAAATGTTAAAATTATGATTTTGTTCGTTCAAACATTCATTAGAACTACTTTCTTTCATTGTTAGACAAAGCCACGGATCTCAAGAAAGAGAGTGAGAGAGATAGAGATCGAAAATAGTATTTATAGTATAAACAAGCGAGCCTACCTTGAAGACCTCATCGTTGGGGTAGAGTATGGCGGTGTTGGGGCGGGACGTGCGGATGTAGCAGATGCCGCGCGTGTTGGCGGCGAGCTCCACGGCGCGCTCCGTCGACACGGCGTCCCTGGACACGCGACATTATTATCGTCCAATATCAACACATGAAACACTTTAATCGCTGTGCTAAAATCTTAGTCGTTTTGGAGAGCTCCACATTTATTAAGTTGCGCATTTGAGATGTGATACGGGCTGAAATATGCTAATGCTATGTAATGACTGCTATAGATATTCTTCTTACTAAATGAAATATCTTAATAAATGAAACTAATACAGTACCTACAATAAGGACCGGTTCAATTACAGTAGATACCAAAAACTAATGCCCGAATATAGAAAGGCTACTTGATTTGTAAGTTATACTTAAATATCGTGCATTTCTGTAATTTTACAAAGAATTTGTAGATAGAATTATACTTAAGCGCGTCTTCATATTGAGTATTTTAGGATATGTGTTTAAAAGTACTTATTTGCTCAAGCACTTATATAGTTCAAATTCAATAGTGAAGGCTTTCTACTAGATAACAGATTGTGAATTACTCACGATGGGTAGAAGACGGTGGCAGTGGGCACGGCCCTGAACAGTGCGAGGTCCTCGAGTCCCATCTGCGAGGGTCCGTCCTCTCCGATGCTGACTCCGCAGTGAGAGCCGACCAGGTTGATGTTGGACTGACTAATCGCGCCCATACGGATCTGGCGACAAGGGTTTATTAGGAGTTACGTTACCTTAAGAGATTGATAAATGTAGATGTTACACAAGTGTGTCCACAACTGTATCCTTTGTTTTTGGAATTATTTATAACAAACTGCTAATATTGCTGTGTAAGTACCTGATCGAAGGTTCTGGTGAAGAATGCGGCAAAGGTGGAGACGAAGACGACAGCCCGGTCACGGCACGCCGCGCCAGTCGCGACGCCGACCAAGTTCTGCTCCGCGATGAAACACTCGATGTACCTGTATATAAATTCGGATATTAGATTAACAATATTGAGTTTAATGCCGAGTGGGTTCCATTCCCGGGTCGGGCAAAGTATCACTGAGTCTTTTTAAGAAATTCTCAGTAGTAGAACAGAGTCTGGAATTGTGCCCGGTATATGGTAACAGGCTCACCCCCTATTACATGGGACTCATAACATAGATAGTGAAAAGTGGGTGTTACAGTAGCATTAAGTGCCGTAATATGCGCCTCTGCCTATCCCCCGAGGGATAAAAGGCGTGATGTTATGTTATGTAAACCCTTCTCATGTGACCAGTCATGAAAGTCTGATTAATGAACTAGTAATGAAATTCTGAGTAAAAGTATATCAAGATTAAACTTTACCTGTCTGGGTAAGCATTGCGCAGCTTGTCGCTGTAGGTAGAGTTCTTGGTGTCACCGTCCAAAGCAATCACACTGCACACAGAAACATAACAATTGTTAACATTTATCACAATAATATATTATCAAGTGAAGTAATCCCACTAATATTGTAACTGCGACAGTTTGTTGTTTGTTTGTTACTCCTTTATGTAAAAACAGCTGAAGGGATCGGGATCTGGAACATTACCCATGTCATTATAGTCTTTTTTTGTGGGGGAAATCATCGAATGATTTAAGGATGAGGCCTAACTGGCCTAACTAACTACCTGTTGTTAGGTTACTTTTATATCACGGGAATGCGGGCGAAGTCGTTGGCAGAAACTAGTAGGAAATAAGTTTACGATATAGCTGTTATTTTTAGTGTTTGAACAATAACGCTAGCTAAGTAGGTCATTTAATTTATACATTATTGCTTATTGCACTTGGATAAGCGCAATCTTTGCTATAAGTATTGTTGATAAGCAACACAATGTTGTGGCGTTATGTGATAACCAGTGCAGATTCAAATCATTTATTAGAATCGCTATTTACTTTGGGACATGAAAATGTATTCATCAGTACCTAACAATAGAATAACACATCTGTACATGTCACTTGATTTTTGGAATGAAATAAAGTTTTATCTTTCTTTCAAATAAATAGTCAACAAAGTAGAGTTTTAATGCCCATTTTAATCAACCTCTTTCTTAATTTGTAAAAGTTAAGATAGGTATTCAAAGACGTTTTTATTTTCACCAACTAGAAGTTAATTTATGTGCTTCTTCATGCTAAGTAACTCTTAGTTAATAGATGGTTTAAAGTGGTCATTAGAAGTCAATATATTGAGGCTGGTACTAACTCACTATTGCACTAAGGAAAAGTTTATGGCAATTATAAAACATTGTATAGGTGGTCCAGTAAACATAATTATTTTATACAGTAATAATACTCGTTGTGCATGACACATACCGCATGTTGGTATCAGCGATCTTCTTGAGCGCGGTGCCGTAGGCGAGCCTGGTGGCGACGAGGTCGGCGGCGCGGTAGGCGGGCGGCGCCGACAGCGTGATGTCGGCCAGGACCACGCGCGGGGCCTCCGCCAGCGGCGCGCGCGGTTTCAGGGAGATCGAACTGTTCTTGATCTGGGACTGGAGGTGCTGGGGACGACATGGACACTTCAGTATTGTACACTTTGAGACACAATTTCATATTTCGACCAAGTTGGAAGGTTTAAGAAGATTTAATTTATATTATCTTAAATATTATAAGATACAACGCTACTTATACTTGTTCAAATGCTACTGCCCACATCGACCGACAGCGGTCGCGTGAGTACGACAAACCTTTAATATTGCACCAACTGTACCTACATAGTACACAATACTGTATGTACTATCAGTGTTGGGCAAAATTTAGTTAACTAATGATTGATGACTAATGATTGAATGTGTTAGTTATGATTGATGACTAATGATTATTTAGTTTAATCACGAGGTGATGACTAATGATTGATTAGTTTTAATCTTAATCAAATAATCATGATTATTTATTTATGATTGATATTTTTTAATACGAGGTAAGGTAAAATTTTTTTCTGCTTCTTAAAAAAATACTGAATTGGACACAAAACGTTACTGTAGGTTAGGTTAGACTTTAGTGTTTTAGTTTAAAATTCAGTATTTTTTGGTGGTCAGATAAATAGATGCCCTGGTAAAATCTTATGATACGGTTATACAGAAATGGTTTTCAGTATAACGGGGTTTTTTGTAACACCTTCTATAACTTTAGTAGTTTTTAGGGTCCCGTACCTCATCTGACTGTAATCATGTAATTTATTACTTGTTTTTCGAAAAGTAAATGATGTCATCGTATTGCTTTAACGATTATAAGACTAACTAAATTACACTTGTATTATTTTATTTATTTATTAATCATCTCAGTGTAACTGTATTGAACTTTATAAACACAAATAATATATTTAAGAAAGCTATATAATATAGGGTGTAAAGGATGGCTTACCAAAGTAAAACCATGGACTCAGATCATCATCCTAAGTAACGGACCGAAGGAATTTTTTCTCGGAAAAGAAAAAATTTTGGCCTTTCTATACATTATATTCTATTAGCAGCCGACTTTAATATTTTGTATGCAGAGTCAAAATTTTTTTTCATTTCCGTACCTAATTCCTTCAGTACTTTACTCAAGATAATGGTCTGAGACTTTGGTCAGCTGATCCTTATACCCTGTATGTGTAGTGTACCAACACCTGTGCATCGAGCTTAGTCATACATTCATGATTAAAACTAATGATTGGTGATTTGCGATTAACGAATTTAGTCATGACTAATGATTGTTCTCGTTAGTTATGATTAAATTAGTCATGACTAAATTAATCATGATTAGATCAATCATGATTGATCAATTGATTGAATAAATTAGTTGATTTGCCCAACACTGTGTACTATTATGTCATGTAAAGTTAGTGCCAATGGGTCTTTACATGAGATGGTTTGTAACACAACGCAAGTAGAACGAATAGTGACAAAGGGGCGTCAATGTATGCGCACACGCACTTCTACCGTTAAATCGCGAAAACAGCGCCATACAAACGCGCATTAAAAACGTTTTGCGTAAAGGCCATAACTTATCAATGCTAAGCATCAGTAATATCAGTCAAATCATTAGCACTAAGTCCACTTTAAATACCTTAATTCATCATTTTATGTACAATATATATTTTTCACAGCTTACCTTGATAACCTTGTCTCCCTCAGCTCCGAGTGCCTTTCCATGCCAGTTCTCCAAGTCCTCGATGCCGGGGAAGTTCTTCCCCTTGAATGTCTTGGCAATGACGGCGGTGGGTCGTCCGCTGACGGAGGCCGCCTCGTCGAACGCCTTCACCAGCTCCGACACGTCGTGGCCGTCCACCACCAGCGAGTGCAGACCGAACGCCTTCATGCGGGCGTCGTACACATCCAGCTGTGGATAAGGGACGTTGTATTATAGAAGCGTAATTATTTATGTTCAGGTCTTGAACTTTTCAATTCATGTACCAGAAAATAAACTTTTGGTAAGTCAACAATGAAAGTGTTTGTAAGATAATCATATGCATGAAGTTAAATTGTTTCACTAAAGTAAGGTTCAATTTTTTTTTTTGAGTGAATTGATGAAGTTCAATTTCCATTGCTAGTATAAATAGCAAAACCTATCATGACAACAATACTTGGTAATAAAATAACAGCACACAATGTTATCTAATCAGTATCTCAGTTACGCGACATATTGTGGTACATTGCTATGAATTAGTTACGACTTGACAGTAATTGTAGTACTAACTGTTAATTAGGACTATAATAACTTTATATTAAAATCATCAGGAATAATTCCCTTTTTAATTTTATTTGAATTACATAAAAAGTATGCTGTTTCAAAATTTTACCTATGACCTACTCTGAAGTATTCTAAACTAGTTCTATGGTAAGCACTGAGTTTGACCTGGATGCAGCAGAATGACAGTACTTTACAAGAAAAAACTGCCATTTGCCCTTCACAATCGATTTTAAATCTGGTTCTACAATTGTAAGTAGTGTTTACCTGATGTTGCAGCGAGGTAGGCTCGGACTGTCCGAGTCTGTTGACGTCGAAGATGACAACGAGGTTGTCGAGCTTGTAGTGGCTCGCGAAGTGCAGAGACTCCCAGATACTGCCCTCCGCCGCCTCGCCGTCACCCACCAGGCAGTATACTCTGTATAAACATACCAGTTACTATACCAATAAAAATAATGTCCTAACTATGAAATCATAACGTTAGAACCTTAATAATTACCTGTAAGGAGCCTGGTCGAAGTACTTCCCGACGTACGCCATACCGGCGGCGACGGCGAGTCCCTGTCCGAGCGAGCCGGTGCCCACGTCCACGAAGTTGAGACGAGGAGTGGGGTGACCCTCCAGGTCTGAGTCCAACTTGCGGAGGTTCTTCAGTTCCTCCACGGGGAACAGGCCAGCCTCAGCCCAGGCCGCGTAAAGGATGGGGGCGGCGTGACCCTGCGAAAGAAAATTAAATATTAAGCATAATTATTATACGGAATGGTCGCTATATAATGCGTGTTGTGAACTGCCAAGCATTAATCAACCAAGCTTTTGAATTATATTATATTTACAAGTTTTCCAAAATTGTGGTTGTTCCTTACCACACGGGATTTATAAACTAGACATATTAGTTAACAACTTCACATCTGCCTACCCCTGTGTAAAAAAAACCATGATTTTATGTACAAAATAAAACATTGGATCAGCATTGGTACAGTATCAGTTCGTGGTACAGCCAGTGTTCGCAATACGACACCAAGTATTTAGCGCAATATGACAAAATGACAAGTACTTCATTAGCCAGAATAGAATGACTATCGTGTCTTCTAACACGCAACATTAACTCTGCAATGCGATACCAGGTACAAGTTATTCACATTCCCACGGTTACATTATATTGTACCCTCATCAATTTTCGACTGTATCACAAAGAAATAATGTTGCAAATCTATGCAGCAAATAATTTGGACAGTTTGAGGTGGTTTTGTCTCTGTATAAGTTACTAGTTCTACATGATTCCGAGAAAATAGTACTAATTATTATTGAATTTCTGCACTGGGACATAATTGGAGTAAAGTGATAATAATTCCTTTACAATTATTTACATATTATGTTGTCAAGTTTGAACTTACCTTGGAGAGAATGAACCGATCGGCCGACGGGTCCCTGGGCGCGGAGATCTTGTAGCGCATGGTGTGGAAGAACAGGACCGACATGATCTCCGCCATGGACGCGCATGATGTCGGGTGACTGTCAACAAAATACCAGTAGATCAAGTTAAACTAATCGAACAATAGATTCTTTGTAATCTGTAAATTGCACTTGTTAATCAAGTAAAATGTCTCATTAGATTTTCAACCTTATCATTTTGGTATAAGGTTTCAATTGTTTAAAAAAATTTGGTAGGTTGGGTTGTTTGAGAACTTACTTCTGTGGCATCAGCCACTGAGGTAAGTTCTAAGTGAAGTATGTTGATATTAGTCCTTATAAAAATAAAATTTTAGGTATCAATTTTGGTTGTATTCAAGGTTATGTCATGCATAAATTTAACTAATTCAATACTTATAGACCTCAAAAAAATAAACTTGTTGACTCAGTACGATAAACTTAAGAATTTTATTGAAGAAGGAATTTACTCTGACTTTTTTTACTACCTACGATCGCTGTAACGCCTTATCTTTGTACACCTATAATTGAGTAGGTAACAGGTTGGCATAGCGTAGATAGACGGACATCAGACATCTGTTCTGTTGCCTACCTAGCAGTCCACATAACATGATGATCACATTAAATTTTTGTTTTGGCGAAATCGCATTCTTGTAATCTTGGAGCATGACTGCAAGTGATATAGACCGCGACTGTGTAGGTATCTAGAACTCCACAAACAATGCATTATCTTGGTTTATTTTGTCTGCCTTTCTACCTACGATAACTTATTATTTACTTATGTAATCATGTTTGCCAGTTGCCTTTCACAACAACAATAGGTACAACCTATTAAAATCAAAAATGTGCACGGCATGCGTAGGTGACTAGCTCATAGTCATTTGTGTACGAAACAAACAAAAATTAGTTATTTCTTGTGTGCATTGAACCCTTATTGTGGTAGCCTAAACACTGCACTTAGGGCACAGCATTTCTAAGTAGGTAAGGAGGTTGGTAAGTTAAATGAATGTTATTAAAAAAACATGCTGGGTATAATCCTGTAGGTCTTCTATCAGTAAGAACGACATTATTAACTGTTCAAATCAAGATATTAATAGACTCGTAGTAAAGCACATACACATTAACTACGAGTACACTTATAAAGTATTACGTGTATGAATGCTACTGCCCACGGTCGACAAGGGGTCGGCGTGAGTACGACAAACAGCTTGCTGTAGCACCGTCATTTGACACACAACTATACAAGATTGTGTGTCATTCAATATCTAGTGCAGGATAGCTTGGTACAAACTTATTGTTAAAAGTAACTAGTACGGAATAATATTTATCGTCACAGACATTTATCACACTAAAGGTTTTTTAAATAGCTTCGGTGAAGGAGTTATCGGCGAGTTAATTTTCATAGCGGGTACCTATAACTTCAGCCTATGCTAAAAACTTCGAAAACTGCAAAACATGCCTGACAGTCTTAGGTCCGTCTACCGAAAGTACAACTTAAATTAATATAACTATGTTGCTAATTAAACGAAATACAATCGCGGCAATATTTCACGCACAGAACTTACTGTTCCACTTAACAACATTCGCGCGGTAATCGTCGATCGTGTGACCATGACTTATTTACGATGATTAACACAATACTCGATACTCGAATAACTATTGAATAACACTTTATTTGGTGTGTAGTAAAATAATGCTTATTCATACTTAATCTTATCATGGTTGCTATTAATCAAATCTTTAAAGTTTTCTTTTATGTTGTTGCATGATTATAATCATGATCAAAGTGATTTGATGTTTCTTGTTTAGTTTTAAAATATTATACTATTATGTTGATATTTTTTTTGAGGGGGGAAAAGTCATCGAATGACTTCTCCCGCCTGAGTGAGGCGGGAGGGAGGTGTCAGACTCTTACTAAAAACTACCCCGTTCTTACTCCATCACTTCGAGCTGGAGCCCCGTAACCCTTCAAGTTCTTCTCTGTATCGGCATCAGCCCTATTGAGCCCCATCGGATAGTCCTTTTATCAAGGAAGACTATAGGTGATAAAAAATCATGCTATGATCCATAGGAGCAAAACAGAGCGGGTGAAAACGCGGGAGTAACTAGGGCATAATATGGTATAAGGTAAAAAGACAATAGATGTATGTTCTAGTTAGAAAAGCTACAAATTCTTTATGAAGACAAGTTATAGGGCAGATGATAACTACACTTTTTTATGAACAATCAAGTGAAACTTTTCAAGTAAATAGATTACGATTCGTAACCTTTACTTGACATTACAGATCTCCTTGACTCTTACAATCAGTGCGACCTCACCGCTCCCTGCTAGAGAGCTACGACCCTCTTATGTAACAACCACTTATCTGATAAACTATGTCAGTTAATTTTAGCTTATTGCTTAACTCGTCGAGTACCGTCATTATAGACACAATTATAGAACAATAGGTTGCGGTCACCGGTGACCGCTTGGTGTTTGACAGTTTAAATATAAACTAATCAGTCGTGCTAGGTCAACCAAATAATACTTTTTGGAGTACATCAAGCAAAATTCTTTAATTTTGTAAGTTAGTTGAGTAACTTACTGTTATCAATATTCAATTTATAGGAGTTAATGTACTGTGAGCTAGATAAAAGTTAAATACAAAGGTATAATAAATATTTCTTTACAAAATAAGTGATTTTTTACAGTGTTTTTTCACAGAGTTAATAACTAATTCATAATTATTCACACTAAATGTGAATTTATACTGCATTCTAAAATTATGAATTTCAGTCATTACTTGGCAAATGTAGTTGATGTGTGTAATCAACATAAATACATTATTCTGAATCACGATGACTACCAAACTCTGTGGAAAGCTGATGCAATCTATGAATAAACATCAAAATCAAATTGTAGATAAATATAATAATATGCATCTTCACTTCTGAAGTCTAGCTCATAATGGGAAATTGTAACTAGTTATTTCTTAATTACAAATATTGATTGTATGTCAAGTACTGTTGTTAGCAGCTTGAAGTAGTTGTAAACAGATTTTATCTGATACGAGTTACCAAGTGCCATTACAACAACTCCCAGGTGTTTTTTCTAAATCAATCTTAAAATGTTGAAGCTATTATTATTCTTACTACAAAATAGATTAAATACATATTTTATAATGTAGGTATGGTAGGTATATTCATTGAGTGGCTATAAACAACGGAAATCAATACATAGTATAAAACAAAGTCGCTTTCGCTGTATGTCCGTATGTATGCTTAGATCTTTAAAACTACGCAACGGATTTTGATGCGGTTTTTTTAATAGATAGAGTGATTCTTAAGGAAGGTTTGTATGTATATACATATTGCACCCGTGCGAAGCCGGGGCGGGTCGCTAGTAAAGAATAAAAATATTTACTATTCAGATCCAAATCAACATAATTATTATATTAAGTAGGTTTATAATTTTTTTAAATACCTTATAAGTAAATGTAAACAAAACAAGGCAAAATTCTAATAAGCAAAATAAAATACAATCGATCGTGGTCGCTAAAGCATAATATTAAGGGCGATGACCTTGGCACCATGGCGTGATAGCAACGGGCGACGGGTGGTCGTCACGTGGTCCCGTCATAACCTACAATGGAAATACATGCGAACCCTGGGGCAATACGTAATGAAACTGCAATGGAATTGTTAAATACATACGACCTATGAACTTGAATAACTGTTACCGGCCGGCAATAAGCAGTAAACGGATTGAAGAGGTTCAAATAAGAAATGAAGGGCAGTGTATATCAGACTGTCTACTTATGCAGCTGTATACATAAGTACCTGTTCACACATCAAAATTAGTTAAATTCATTACAAACAGTATTGTACTATATGAAAAATCGGCGAAATAACCTTCATTGGACCTTGAAAGAAACTGCGAATGTAGTGAGGTTATCCACTCACCCCGATTTGGACGCGTTAGTAGCGACGATGCTGTCAATCCTCAGCTTGTTGGCGATGTCTTTCAAAGCCTGGATGTCAACGTTCTTGTCGCCTTTCATTTTGGAAATGTTTTAGCGTTATTGAATACAAACAAAAACTATGACCACGTTGTTTACGACCGGTCGCTTGCCCGCCGCCGGATTCAATGACAGCTTCTCACAAACGCCAACTGAAATGACAACGGCTGTCACTTAATTTTTTATCGGTCATTGAACCACAACATTATTTCAATTATGCAACAAATTATATGTTTTTATAATGATATGAATGTAAATTGTTATTAGTAAGTAAATAATTTAAAGTAAATTGCTATTCTATCGTCATTATGTTTGCGAGTGCCTGCCATCTATGTACTAGTATAAAAACTAACGTTTTAATAAGTTCGTTCGATTCTGTAGAGATGGCGCTATATACCTAAATCTTATAATGTTATTTGATAATATCATCTATCCAACTACGAATGTCGCGGAGAACCTAACGGGTAACCGGGGCTCCGGCTCGACGTGCAGGAGAAGGAACGGGGTGGTTTTTAGTCAGTAAGAGTCTGACACTCCCTTCCGCCTCACCCAGGCGGGAGCAGTCATTCGATGATTTTCCCCACTTAAAAAAAAACCCAACTACGAATAGAATTTTTACCTAATTCGCTAATAATTATTTTAAAACCAAATATAGAAACTATTACGTGTATAAAATTTTATAAACTCTTACCACGTTACATATTACACATAGCACAGCTAAATAAATCGTTAATCTTCTTATTTTACCTTCTGAAATAGTTTTTTAGGGTTCCGTAACAAGAAATGAAAAGAGGTCTGTGTTCAGGTCAGGACTCAGGACGCGGGGCTCGGATTTCGATTCATTCATTCATTCAGGGTTCAGAGTTTAGCCAGTCAGTCATTTGTGCATTCATTAATTAATTTGGCTATCGCAATTCTGGATTCGGGATTCAGGATTTGGTGTTGGGGATTTGGAATTCGGGATTCAGATTTCTGCTCGAAAACAATACTTTGAATGTGTTCGATCAGGTTTAAACCTTACGATGAAGATCGAAGTTTTTGGTTATGGCTCGAATGTTTCTTGAGCTCAAAGGTCTTGAGCTAAAAATAATACCTACAAATTTTATTTTCATATTTAGCAATAAATTGAATGCTTGGGGCAATTTTATGCCATCTCCTTTTGCTTGATGGACTGTCTAATTCCACGCAACCTAATATCAAAAACAATACTCTTCCTTCAGTCGGATAAAAATCGATCTTAATTGATTAAGTGTGGGAGAGCCATGCTTCGGCACGAATGGGCCGGCTCGACCAGAGTGATACCACGGCCGAGCAGAAAACCGACGTGCAACAACAACAATACTTGCGTTGTCTTTCGTCGTGTAAGTGAGGTTACCGGAGGCCCGATTATCCTCCTCTAACAGGATGTTCTTACAGGATACAAACCAACCAACACTAACAATAAATTAAATTAATATATAAATATATGTGAATAATTAACTCTAAGATTTTAATTTACACTAACAGCAAGAATAAAATGTAAAATTAATTACCTGTAAGAAATAAATGGATTTTTTATTTTTATTTAATTATTTATAGTGGTGATCGACCAACAAGTACACCGCACGATGATAATCGATGTCACCTTGTCACCATTTCAAAGAAGATAAACAAATACAATATCTAGACTTAGCTCACGAGGTTATCGACATGTGGAGTGAGGATTCGGCTATCATTGTGCCGTTAGTCGTGTCGGCCAATGGGTTAATCCCTAAAAATCTCAACATCTATCTCAGGAGGCTGGCGTTAGGTGGATGGATCACGGGCCTTATACAGAAGGCAGTTCTTCTAGAAACGGCATGTATCGTGAGGAGGTTTCTGTCTCTGGAGCCCTCACTACCGGTAACTTGGACCATGCTCCCGCTACTAATAAATATTATTTTTTATTTTGTAAGTAGTATTTATAAATGTAATTGGTAGACGTTTTTAAATAAACATATGTAAATATAATACATATTCTTCTGTTCAGCTAAGACGAGGCAATAGGTAGACGATTGAGTCTACAAAATCCATGACAAGAAGTCGAGAAGATACAAGGAATCAAATAGCCAATAGCATTGGTATTAAAAGCACTCGAACATTGTTTGAGTAATATCCACCAAACGACGCGATCAAACGCCTGTCATATTGAATTGAATCCCAACTGCCGGACACGGGCACACCACGCCACAACCTTACATTTACACCTATAATCACTTCTATCACAACTGGTTAAGATATAAAATCGAATAATACACACTGATAAAATCGTCATATAAATATCAAAGTTGTTTTTGCGGAAAATGTAACTCTTATTACAAGGTAATAAGATTAGTTTTGGTGTGGTTAGGTGTAATGTGTAACGTGGTAAGAGTTTACGATAAAACGAGGGTGGCTATTCTAAATCGCGCTGACGTATCAAGCGGACCTTTGTTCACCTGACTACGTTGGCGTAGCGAGGATGTGGCGATACACCATGACATGGCATACACACGTATTCATTTGTTATTATTTATTGGTTAAAGATTTAGGTACTGCTTCGTTGGCTGAGTGGTCGCAATCGCAAGTGCGACTGCCGGGCAAGAGGTCTTGAGTGCGATTCCCGGGTCGGGCAAAGTATTACTGGGTTTTTAACAAATTCTCAGTGGTAGCACGGAGTCTGGAATTGTGCCCGAAATATGGCAATAGGCTCACCCCCTATTACATTGGACCCATAACATAAAATTGTGAAAAGTGAGTGCAACAGTTTACTATTTGATTTGATTGACTATGCAAGTTTGTAAATAGTTAATCTGTTTTAGTCACGTTACAAAAAGAATGTATACAAATACATGGTTGAATATTGACAAGTTCACAATAGGTACAAGTCGTGGCTACGTGGAACAAAAATAAATTATTAAAAATAAAATATTTTGTTTCTATCGTGTTGACATTTGCTGCATTATAGGGCAACATAATATCATCACTTCGCTACGCGGCTACGACTCCAGTGCTACGGTGCTACGCGGCTACGCAGCGATGCTACGAGGGATAACGAAAAAACGCTGTCTGATAAATAAATATAAAAACAATAAAACTGTTGTTTATCGGCAGGAAAATGGCCGCGCGGGCACACTGCGGCTACAATGACCACGATTGGATGGGACACGGGATATCTTTTATTCTATTAATATCAACGTAAACAATGACTGAGAGAACATCGTTTTCAAAAACATACTTACAGGGTATTGTATATGGTGAGGCGTTTATTATAGAATTTTCTTTAGTGACAAAACTTTTGTTGTCAATTAAACCATAATTTGGTACTTTTAAAACGTCAACAAATATGAAATAAATAATAGTCTGTCAGTCTGTCCGTCAGTGAAGGTAGGCGCTCGTTCCAAAATGTCGATTCGAGTGAAGAAGAACGAGGAAGAAACTCCATTCGTTACTCTTTTAAAAAAAACTCTGTTTTACACTGCAACTCAATTAATACCTAACTTGTTTTATAATAATTATCGTGCGACATAATAAACGTTACTCACGTGAGTAGCCCGCAATTTTTAGTTAACCTAATCTCTTATTCAGATGAAGGGCAAGTTAGGGTGAAGACTAACGTTTGGAAGTTTATATATTGTATTTTTTTAGGCACTGCGCAATGAAGTATACAAAAGCAAAGACCGACAAAATTAAATAAATTGTAAAAAGTACTTTAATTACTGTCGATTACAATAACCGGTCTTAAGACAAAATGTCTAGATCGATGTTCAGCAACTTTACAGAATAAATGTAGAAAATCGATCTCTTTGTACAGATTTTGGATTAAGGTGGTTTATTGAAATTGGCAGTTTGACTAACGGACAGACTATTCAGAAGATCACATTTTCGAGTGGAATTGTGTACTTTCATTAATCAAAAATAAAATATTTCGACTGTTCAATACAACAAAATATTAAAAAATAATCATACTTTCATTAATTGATTTTATGACCAACATAATTTTAGTATTTTTCTAGCGTATTTTTAAGAAATAAGTACGCTGGTTGGCGCTAAAAAACGTGACGTCACAATACACAATCTCGTACAATTATCATAGGAAACTATCGTTTTCGACAGTTCGCAAAAAGTAATGAATTTGACTAGTTGTCAAATACTGTATTAATAGTTGGGTATATCAGAGCTTTTGTTGACCTTCCACTAGATCTCTTCCATCATGGTGCATCGATGTATGGGCATCACAGTCGAGGGGTATGGGGCAGTGTCCGGGGCGGAGGGAGGGGAGGGGGCGCGCGTTCGATGTTCTGTTTTCAAATTCAATTGGCCGGTGTCCCGGGGCGATCTTTCTCCGCGCGATTCCGAATTGAATATCAATAGAATGACGTACGATTGTTGTGGACATGACTGTTGACCGTGTCTTTGTTCGATTTTATATTTTTTAGAACATTTTATTTGCTTTTTTCGTCAAACTTATGATTGATCTTACAGAACATTTAACAATTAGTATCTGTTACATTTAGATATGCATATTCAAGAAATCTTGAAGACAAATGCATTACTTAAATTATATGTATTCCGAATATTTCTTGTTGTGGTTTCTTCGACATATTACATAATAATACAAATATATGATTTAAGTAATATATAAAAATCTCATTCTCTCGAGGTTAACAATAAACACTTAATTATAGACTTATAATTACCGAAGGTTTAAGAAGCTTTTTCTCGCTATGAGATAATCGACACCAGAAACATTTATTCAACTGTTGTATTTTTAGTTAGTTACTACAATATCTTAAAAATACATAAAAATATAATGGCAAGTCACATCGTCATTATTCTCGAGTTGCGCCGCGCGTCACATCCACATTCAGAATGCATAAAAGTAACGGTCAGCGCAAATATACGTTCGGATTTGTAAAATTGTAAAAGGGCGAAGTTCTTGAAGTGTCGCCATCTTCCTCCGAGCCAGGCCCCTGTGTTGGGCCCCACTCGGTGCTTGGGGCCCGGGGGCTGACGTTTCAATCTCATACTTTGATTCCTTTACTGATGCTAATGTTTTGTTTAAAAACTTGCTTGTCTTTGTTTTGACATACAATTTTGTTTACTTACGTAAGTTGGATCGTATGATATCTCATTTTTATTG